TACATACATACATACATACATACATACATACATACATACATAGTTACACATAGTTACTAGTTACACAAATGTTTGCCTATGTTTTCTGCCTATGTTTGCTTGCACAAAATTCAAACGCCGGTCTCCAAACCGTGCATAGCATAAAGTAATTTTTTCGGTAGAAACCAGATATTTCGTACATGCACTACATCTATTAATCAAACAATAGCCCTTTCGTTGCAGGAGGAGAAAGTCGAGTAATATTCCAATTACTCAAACCAGGTTACATATAAGTATGAGTTATTAATCATGCCACCGCTTCGAATGAGATTGCTATATCACGCTATTGCTGGAGCCATAATAAAAATGAACCCACTTCCAGAAGAGCTCGAGGATGTACCTTGTGATTCGAATAGATTCGTAACATGAACGCTGACTGCTCTCTTGGAGCAAACGTAGTTGGCAAAACTATATACCTGCCAACCGGAATATCTCTTAGATGAAGAAATATGGAGCGTGCACTAGCATAGTCAGACGTTGCAGCGGGCGTCATTGCCTTAACGGTAGCTTTTAACTGAAAAGAAATGTCAGATTATCAATTTTCATAGGAAGGTGGAGTCTACGCGCTCTTTCTCGCAGCTCTCGCGAGTGGAGAACATAAATCGAATACTAGACATCCTTTTTTTGCGATGCTGGATAAGTCGCTCTTTTGGGATTTTGTTCGGCTAGAAATTTTGAAAAGGAAAAACGAAGCAGTTTCAGGTGATATCCTCCATACTATCATAGGCGGAGGTGGAGGCAATCAATAAAACACCTGTGTTGGGGGATCAAAGCCCAGGTCGATACCAATAAAAGGATACCAGAATAAACCTTTCCACTCAAAGAGCATAGGAGATTTGCTTTGAACATGCTCTGGCCAGCACACCGTAAGGAAGTTCGAACGTCACTACTACTCTGAATGGGAGTCGGACGTGCGAACGTGGACGGGCGCGGAAACAGGAGTAATCAAAGACAGGAATATATAGCCTCAATGCTTTATTTTCGCACTGCAACGGAATTGTTAGAAACCCTTCTTGAAAAGAGTTACCTAGTGTGAATAATAATAAGGCCAAACAAGTCTCCAGATCCAATTATGTATCATATTATAAGAAGCTACATTCTGACCTGTTTTCTAATTACAAGAAATGAGACCAGAGCGAAAAATCATTTTCTGTGACAGAAAGATCCCTGACCCCTTGTGGCCATGTCGTGTTAACCCAGCCCACGAGCGAGATTGCAATCAACCCCTCCTCTGATTCTGGATAGATCAGCAAGACTAGGAAAATTAGGAATAAGCAATACTGGAAACCTCACCACTGCTGAATCTATAATGAGAGGGATTGACCACTTAATGATTACTGTGTCAACTTTCTATAGAATGGAGTTGGCATTTATTCCCAATTGTGTATTCATTTGCATTGGCCATGCTGCGATATCGAGGAAGAAGTCGAGTTCTGTCCATATCATCTTAGAGAAAGGAAGCTATGGCTTGATTCTCTGGTGTTCGTACCTAGAATGTGAAAACTCAGCAAAGACCATAAGTTGTTCTTCATGTTGCATAGTTCACAAAAACTGGAGTTATCTCGCGAACAGCGGTTCCACGGGGCACAAAAATGTATTAAGACGCCCAACAAACCACTCTAAAGAGCAACTAGTAGCTCAGGAATCCTTTTGTGAAACATGATTAACACCTAAAATTGATGAAATACTCGTTATCGATGACCTATGGTTGTACACTGTAGGAATAATTTTATTTCACTTCACGAATTTGTTCAAAATCCGTTTTTCCATTGCTCACAATAAAAGTATATGAATTTGACGCTTCTCAGCGCTACTACTGATAATTGATTGGAAAAGTAATGTAATGCGGAGCAGTATTTCAGCCTAAGTCAGCCTTCAGATAGACATGCCAACAAGTCAAGACAAAGGTTCTTCCAGATGGGAAAAGCCGTACGAATTGTGGAGGTTGAACAGGTTTCCCGACGGAATCAACTCAAGATTTAATAACCTCAGATAGTGCTTGTTTTGAACTCGACAAGGTACTATATGGTTCCCCATAGTTGTCATATTTTTTCTGCGCGAACTTCAGTTTTGACAACTCAGGCTCAGCATCAAGAAGCAGTTTTTTCGAAGACTGCATTGGCAGGATGTCAGTCTGATGAACGTGATGGAAAAAATTCGAGTGAGGATAGGCGTGCCTACGTCGAGTTCATATACTGTTGTTATTAACAAGAAACATCATACGAAAAAGAAATCGAGAAGCAAACCAGTAATGCCTTTATGGATCGCAGATACAGGCTGATAAAAATTTGATACAGGTTGCCAAAGTGCATCATAAGTGTTATTAGTAATCATTTGTCGATAATTCTTGACCTTTAACAGGCTAATCACTGTACATGTCAGAACAGATACGCCCAGTCAGATAAATGGATCGGCAGCGAAGATTGTTCTTGCATCTCTTCTAGGCATTGAGAGTATAAGACGGTATATCTATGTAATCAGTCGGGCCGCCCGGCTAACGCTGGGCTTCCCTATTCCTTATGGCGATGAGAAATTCGCTAAGCGTAAATCGGCTCGCTCGGCTCGGCTGACGCCGGGCTCCCCTCCTTCTCATGGTAAAATGGTCTCCCCGCCTGCACCTTTATCAAATTTGAAGGCTTCGGAAGATGAAAACAGGAGTTATTCATGTTTGAGTAACTCGACTTATTTGCGACTTACTCAACTTTGGTTTCGAAATCTCGCTTCAAGTCTACATTAACATTTTTCGCTCACGCCTCGCCTCCTGTGAGCGGAGTTAAGTCTTGCCGCCCGACATAGGTGCTCCCATCCTGCCGCCTGTATTTCTATCGAATATGAGCGCTCTAGATCCAAGTTTAACCTATTCACATAAGCCCCGCCCCCTGTGGGCGGAGTCAGGCCCGCCGCCCACCATTAGTGCTCCCATCCTGCCGCCTGATCACCTACCAAATTTGAACTCTCTAGGTCGACGGGAACCGGAGTTACGAATTTCCGGTCAAACACACACACACAGACAAACCAACAGACACACTTAGCGCGTTATATGTATATAGAAGGATACCACCCTAAGTCCACATGACCGAAATAACAAGACGTTATAACGCCTTACAGCCCAGCAGCGCGTACGCATGCGCTGCGCTTTTTCCCAGCATGCCGTAACCTTAAACGATTGAGATCTCCCACTGTATTGCACCAACGTATGTCCGGGAATCTCTGGTCTCTGAAACATCTCGCTGCCATGGTTAGAGGAAAGAAGTTTCCGGAGTCCATCAGTTGCCTCCTATAGAATGACGGACATAACACGTATTCAGCTTGCTTTGCAAGCATCCTCTGTTGTCCTCAGGAGTAGTAACACAGAACGCTGACTCAAAAGCGCAATACCCTACCAATTACTCCTTACTCGTTCCATATTTTATCATGTTTTAGCAGACATGTTTTTGAAGATAACGCGCTGCGAGAGATGCATATGAGGGTGTAACTTGTGACGCATATTCCAAACGTTCACCCTGCTTCCGGCAGGCAGTTCAGATCCAAAAATCCTTATATGTATAACGCGCTCGCATCCGCCTGTGTGTCTGACTCTCTCTATATCTGGTTGTCTGTCACCAAACCCGATTCTACATGATGAAGCAACTGGAGACGTTTGGAGCAAGTTTGGGACGGAATACGCATAGGTCAAGATCAACAGACACATGTGAGGTCCGTGGAGCTCCGCCCACGGAGGAGGAGAGAGGGCAGGATAGGTACTATCTATAAATTGAGCGGCGTCTGCGAAATTCGCTTGGGACCGCCATACCGTAACCCGCGCTCATGTGCTTAGTTGCAGCTGGCCTAAATTTAAAAGTAAAGTACAGAAAAGGGGAGGTGTTGGGTGTCAGCT